TTTAGCACAAATATTTTCACGTGTAGCAAGATGGCGGATGAGTTGTGCTATGAAATGTCATTTTCGTTACAAATCAAGCTCTGTAAATCCCTTATAACCTCAAAGATCTCAAAATTATGATTTTCTTAAAAGGAGGAATAACTGGTTTACAATATACTTGGATTTTATAGCGGCTGGTCTTCGATCTGTGGTAAAAGTTGGAGATTTCTGACTGACAACACGTGGGTAAACACCGCAACGGTAATGTCGATGGCAGTGTTTTATAATATTAGTTTTCTTTTAAAGTCTACTAGCAGTCTTTTTTAGAAGGACAAAGATGTAAATTCCCTACAAATGCTTATAAGAAACTACTTTCTCGATTGGTTCCAGGATGTCTCTGTTTTTATGGAATATTTGAAGATTAGATTCACTGCAAGATAAGAATTACGATGGAAGGGAAAATTGACATTAAACTCTTAAAGGTATGGTTGAAATGGTTCTTTTACATGCACAAGATACTGCTATATAATCCTGGTTCCAACTGTAATTAATCACAGTCATCCACAAGTTTTAGATCAACAACAACCAAAGGATGATCAACATAWGWGCAAGCTCAAAAACATAGTTTTTTCCAATCCTTGAATTGTGAACCAGGACATATAAGGTGGTTAAGTTTATGCACCGTCAGTGATTGCTATTTTATGGTGATTTTATTCTAATGTCAGATACTAGATGCAGGGCATTTCAAGGCATCACCAATAGCTACACCAGGGTCACAGTTAGAAAACTTCATGGGTCAACTGAATGATCATTTCTTGTATGAGAAAGACTCTCATGGATTGTCAGTTGTTCCTGAAAAGGGAAAGGTATATTTTAATAACTTAGTAACTTATCTTTGGTAATGGAAAGTTAGTACAGTGAGTATTAAGTATTGCACTGTTTTGGACTTATAGAACAGCCTACAGGGTGTATTATCATTGTCATAATTATATTTTCAGATGTATGTTGTTCAACGAACTATTGATACATGCTGGTACAGAGCTAGAATAGAGAACATCATGCAGACTACTGCTGGACCACAAGCCAGGTAAATCTTTCCACAATCAACATTGATTTTAGAGTTATTCAAAGTAATATTTTCATTTCAATTCATGTTGCTGTTGTTTCTGTAGTGTTCTGCTAGTTGATGTGGGAGAGCAGACTTTGATACCTTGCTCAAGGTAAGAAAAATTTATTTTGTCTTCATGTAGAAAGCTATGGACCATAGAGAGAGATCAGATAATTATTACAGTATTTAAGCCTCAAAATAACTATGTTTACAGAATACGTGAATTGCCAAAGCAGTTTGAAAACATCCCTTACCAAGTCATGGACTGTCATTTRATAGCTGTTAAGCCTCTCAGTCTTGTGACGTCATATTTTGATTTTACAACCACTAAACAGTAAGAATTRATATTCAATTGTCTTTGCACATTTTTTCTTTGTATATTTTTTATTTGACCAWCATTTATATTTATGTGTTGAACTATTCAGAAAAAGTCRCTACTCACTTTTTWATCATATCAAGGGTCAGCAAAACTTGGACTGAAGCAGCTACAAAGTTTGTTCGTACGGTCATAAGTGGTAGGTGTAATGACATTCAATTCTAAAGTAAGATTTGATGCATTTTTTTGATTAGAATCTCTAGTTGGAAAAATAGTCTTATATCTTGTTGTTGTGTGTTCTTTTGATATTTTAAGGTTGTAAACTCCAAGTGACAATTCAACAAGAAGATGAAAATGGGAGGTATCATGTTCTGTTACATGCTGAATCACCACAAAAGCAGGTATAGCTGCCATGTTTACGTCTGAATGAATCATGTTTATAGCACTGGCCTTTGTTGATTATGCAGGTTTGCGTCAATGATGAGCTTGTTCAACAAGGATTTGCTGTGTTCAGTGAAGTTGTAGACTATGAAGGTACATTGATTAAGGAAACTAGAAATGCTTTAATCTTTGTCTGCTTGGAATCTGATTTTTTCATTCACTATTTATCTTGATAATCTTGTTTGATATGTAGAAGAAAGTCCTAAAAAGGCAGAGAAACGAAAACAACAACAAGAGAAATTCTTACAGCAACAACAGGAAGTTATAGAAGCTTTCAAAAACAAAACASAGTTTCCTCCCCAAGAAGACAGTACAAGCACAGATGATGAAAGACCATCGATTAGATTTCATAGAGTACAAAAATTAGCTGATATGAATGATCCATTGAACTTCTTAAGACARCAAGTAACAGAGATGCGAAAGCCACATCAAACAGAGATGCCAGTGTCTTTTATTCCTGCAGGCTCAGAAAACAGAAAATTAGCAAGCAGGAAAATCAAGAAAGCATCAGAACAACAAAGTAGGCAAGTTATTTCTTCTTCAAGTGATGAGCATCCAGGAAGAGTAAGGTTTGTATCAGCAAGAATTCCTGCCACTGGTAGTGGTATGCCACATTTGTCCAGGGAAGAGGATACAGCAAGACTGAAATCAATATTAAAGCCTGGAAGAACATCAACCTCACCCATGAACAGGGAACAAGAACCTGTGACAAATAGCCCTAGATGGCGTCCTGGAAATATATCACCACAGCACCCTGAAAGGGAGAATCTTGCGTCACAGTACCCTGGAAGGGATCATCTGTCTTCACAGTACCCTGAAAGGGGTAACCTGTCCTCATTGTATTCTGAAAGGGAGAATATCTCGCCACAGCATCCTGGAAGGGAGAATCTTGCATCACAGTACCCTGGAAGGGATCATCTGTCACCACAGTACCCTGATAGGGATAACCTATCCTCACAGTACCCAGGAAGGGGTCATCTGTCCTCACAGTACCCTGATAGGGATAACCTATCCTCGTTGTATTCTGAAAGGGAGAATATCTCATCACAGTACCCTGAAAGGGACAATATATCACCACAGCACCCAGGAAGGGAGAATCTTGCATCACAGCACCCTGGAAGGGATCATCTGTCCTCACAGTACCCTGGAAGGGATAACCTATCCTCACAGTACCCTGAAAGGGACAATATATCACCACAGCACCCTGGAAGGGAGAATCTTGCATCACAGTACCCTGAAAGGGACAATATATCACCACAGTACCCTGGAAGGGACAATATATCACCACAGCACGCTGGAAGGGATCATCTGTCCTCACAGTATGCTGAAAGGGATAACCTATCCTCACAGTACCCTGGAAGGGAAAATATATCACCACAGTACCCTGGAAGGGATCATCTGTCCTCACAGTACCCTGAAAGGGATAACTTATCCTCGCTGTACTCAGAAAGGGAGAATATCTCGCCACAGCATCCTAGAAGGGAGAATCTTGCATCACAGTACCCTGGAAGGGATCATCTGTCACCACAGTACCCTGATAGGGGTAACCTATCCTTGCTGTACTCTGAAAAGGATAATTTCAGGTCACAGTATCCTGAAAGGGATAATATCACTTCAAAATTCTCTGGACAGGAGAATCCTTCTTCACAGTATCCTCCATGGGATAGTCTACCCTCACGGTACCCTGGAAGAGATAATYTACCCTCAGAGAACCCTAAAATGGAGAATCCATCCTCACAATACCCTAGAAGGGAGAATTTATCATCGCAGTACCCTGGAAGGGAWAATYACTCTTYACAGYAYYCATGTAGGGRAAATCTGGAACAGATAACAAATGATGACAATCAGCTTACAAACTGTTCTAGAGAGTCATACGTGAATCCCTCACATTACCCAAGAACAACATCCAATGACAAATACATGAACCATRGAGACGCAGATGATGACCATCATCCCCAATGGCATCATRGGAGTGCAGAATTAAGCTCAATTCTTGGAATGAAAGAATCACATAATTCATCTTTTTTGTCTCATGGATTTTCAAATCCAACCCAACGTCTGCCATCTCATATAACAAATACCAATCAGGGATTAATATCCTCTCACACTCCCTCAGAAACTACCAGCCATAGTAAAACACTTCCATCAGATATACTTAGTTCWAGACTACCATCTGAAGCAGTTGGGTTGAAATTACAGCCAACAGTGGACGCCCAAGAACCTGAATCATGTATAGATGAAGGAGTATTAATACATGGTGAAGGTAGGTAGAATACAACCCTTAAACCATGCACTAAATCAAAAATGGTAGAGAAAGCTTTAAACAAAAATTGTTTAAAAATCAATGAATAAATGATTCACCTATTTTCAATTAACCATTGCTTAGGTGTACCTAAACCATTCCTGTCAATGGTAAACTGTCCTCTACATGAGAAAGGCTCTAGAYTGGATATCACTGTACCAACACCAATTCAAAGGCACATGTGGCCAGCCTTACTAAGGGGRAGGGATGTCGCAGGAATAGCATCTAAAAATGCAGGCAAGAAGTTAGCCTACCTTCTACCCATCATGGAGCAAGTCATGGAATCTTCTATATATTCAGAGTTGCCATTGACAAATGGGGTAAGGGATATCTTTCCATCCTACTTCATCAAATGCTGAATTTCTTTTTTGCCCACTCTTTTTCTCCTAGTTTGTGTTTACTATCTTAAGTTTGTCCCTTCTCTCCTTCCTTCCTCCCTTCTCTCTTCTTTTCTTCCTTTGTCTATTCCAGCCATTCTTTGTTGGATAGGGTGAAAGACAGTTTTGCTAAATTGCTTTTGTGTTTCTCAGCCATTGGCTCTGATATTGTGTCAAAGTTGGAGTGATGCCATCAATGTCTATAAAGAATGCCTAAAGATACTTGGTAATCGAAGAACAGCTCGTGTTCATGTCATCTTTGGAGGTGGTGCAGAACAAGAACAAATCATCCCTGTCTTAAATGGCTGTGAGGTTCTTGTAGCAACAGTCCCCTGCTTTTTACGCATGCTTAAACACAGCTACACACCACTAGACCGCCTCTGCCACATAGTCTTTGACAATGCTGACATCTTAGTGGAAGACTTTACATCAGAGCTAAAGGATATCATGAGAGTTTATGGTCGTCATTTGGTTTCACAACCGGGCCGTGTTGCCCCAAGACAAACYGTTGTTATGGCAACATCTTGGACTGTAGGTGTGGCATCCCTTGTCCGTGCCTACCTTGGGAATCCTTTGATAATAATAGATGATAAAGTWGAAGCAGCTGTTTACTCTGGAGTCAGRCARACTGTAGAGTTRTGCTCTATGAATCAAAGGCTCAATCGCCTGTTGGGTAAGTTCATAAAAACTGTTTATGGGTATTTCTAACTTCAATAGGGAAATAAATGCAATGATTATAATAGTATAAGTGTATTTAAAGAATGAATGTTTGAATTTGAAAGTTAAGATACATTTGAACTCCTTTATTGGTTCATAAGGAATGGATAAGTAAATAACTAAGTAAATGAAAAAATGAACAATAAAGAAAATAAATATGAATATAACAGTGTAAATCAATGAATGCTAACGTTATTTGTTCATAATTSTAGGTTTTCTAGATAATGCTGACAGGACACATGAAATTGTTGTGTTCACCAACACAGCTCAAGAGGCTGAGTCTCTTGGAGAAGTACTAAGAAYAAACAACCACTTTGTTCTTGTGGCACATGAGTTTTTGAATCCACAAACCTTAGCGGAMATYAGAAGACAGTGGTATACTCCACATACAGTTGATCTAATGCCTATTTTAGGTAAATTATTCAGCAATAAAGTCTCTTTTGTGCAAGTTTTGTCATGGATGGGTGTTACTGTATCAGTTTGCAAGTTATTTCAATGTATATTTTTTTAGATCTTAATACAATTCTCAAATATATAAAGGCACCATTTTAACTGCTCATACTGTAAATTAGTGTATGAAATATATTTTTTCATGTTTTCTTGTTTAGCAAAATCCAAGCTGACTTGTTTTTTTCAGTGCTTACTGATGGTGTTCTCATGGGAAAACAGCTGACCATACACAACGCGTCTATGGTGATACATTATGATTTACCGCTCATCAAAAACAAAGAAAAGTTTGGACGTAGGTTCTTCTGCATGGCTCGTACGTTTACGAATAACAAGGTAGGTATTTAATTCATATATTAATTTATTGTTGATGATTTTGTTTGTGGGTTTGTTGGTTATAACTTTGTTTCATTTTTATCTTTAATTTGTTCTTTGCATTGTACATTCCTCATAAATTTGCTGTTTTCTTTTTTCCTTTTTAATTGTAATTCTCTGAGTTGTCTCTGAGTTATAATGTTATTTAATGATGTTTTCTTAGGATCATGGCTGTCTTTCAGTTATCTTCATCACTGAAAATTGTATGCGACAAGCAACAATTGCTCATGAATTGATGAAAAGGACATCACAAGTTAATCCATCAATGGACACTTCTGTTGAYCCAARCRGCCCGCAAACATTAACTACTACTTTACTAGAACAAATGGCTGATACTGCACAGATGGTGGGTGGTGCTTGCTTTGTAGTTATGAACACCAGAGAGCTGTACTAGGTTGTATATAATATGTTTTTGAACATTTTTTTTATAGTTCTAAATGATAATGGTTTTTGTTTTTCTAGGCTAAAGAAAGAGACAAAATGAACACTGATTTGTGTGACTTTCTCATGGCTTATGGAAGTTGCAGGTAATACATTATTAAACAGTTCTTTAAAAAGATTTTCTTTTTTTTTTGATATATGTTTTTAACGTTACTACTCTAACAGGACCTTTACTGACAAGAAGAAGTGCACTATGAGACATGTCATACTGAATGAAGAAGATTTTCCTTATGACTTGCCGACAAYGGGCATTGTCAAGGTCAGGRAAAATTYCAAGGCTATAATGTTTAAAGACTATATTCACTGCTGTTAGTCTTATTACAAATTACGAAGCCTAGTGATATTATTAACCAATTATAATGAATTAACCTATTTCATGCACTAGGTTCTTGTTCTACACGTCATGAATGCAACGTGTTTATGGGTACGTATCCTGGAACACAGGAACCCCAAAGGTGAAAMCATCCAAACMAGCRGTAGTGGGAGTAAATTTGTTCAGATGACTGTTGACATGGGTATGTGGTATAGTAACGAAGCCAATAGGAAGAGGGTCAGCATGCCAAGAGTCTCTGACCTGTGTGCAATAGAGGAAGATGGATCTTATCATCGGTAAGGACAATGAGTTACTTGAAAGTTTTTCCACACTAATTTAAGTACTAGACTCAAGATTATAATAGTAGTTTGAATATTGTGATAATAATGATCATGATCAGTTGATAGTCTGCATTGATTCTCTCAGGGTAAAGATTTGTGATATTATGCGCAAGAACTCACAGTCTGGAATGCCTTTAGATGTACAGGTAAACATAAAAAAGTTTTAAACTCATAAATATATCCAAACAAGAAGTAAGTCTATGTTTATCTGTATTCAAAGGTGCAGTTTGTGGATCAAGGAAGCTATCAGAATGCTAAGATCTCTGCTCTGTTACAATTACCGCCACAGTTCCATACTCTTCCATTCCAGGTACGATGTAATGTTGATGATGCTGTAATTGTCAAAAGTCAYTCTAGATGTTGATGCAGTTACTTTCTTTTTTTGTTCTTGYTGTTRTTGTCTTTGAAAGGTGTCAAAATMATTCTTAACAATATTTCTTTATGTGACCTTGAGCTGTGAGAATTGCATTTTTAGGGAAAAGGAGTTCATAATTATATCATTTTTATTCATTGTAATCCTTTCTTTTYTTTTCAGGCTGTGCAAGTGTTTGTTTGCCGAGTCAARCCACAAGACAAAAGTCTGCAATGGACTCCAAAGGTAATTGATGACTACAATGGTTTATTGGYTCATGTGCTGGAATATTTAAATCAATTTTTTAAGCCATATTTTTCYCACAGGCCAACCATTTTGTCCGAAATCTTGTTGAGGGTAAAGAACTTGAAGGCAAAGTAGTTTTAAGGTGAATTATTGTACATGAACAGTTAAAATAGTTTCTATTTCCCTGATGCATTGTCCCTGGCTGTTGATAAACCTTTTCTCAAATCAAATTCATTGACAATAACACCACACTTGATGTTTCTTCTTTAAGCCTAAACAATACAATATGGCTGGATCCTTTGTGGGAGAARAAAATACTGAAAAGCATYCAAGTCACCACCAACATCAACAACATCAGAGTTGAACTACTCAAAAATGGACTTGCAGTAGAAAATAAACAACACATTAAASAACTGAGGAAGCTTTGYGAGGATGCCATTGATCTTTCCATTTTTGATGGGGAGGAAACTGTAGGGTTAGTACATATCATCAATAATGTCGCAGCCATGTACCTCTACAAGCAATAAMTTTAGATTGTTCCCTGTAATTTGAATGTAGTATATGGATAAGGAACTTTTGTATATCATTATAGATGTGACTCGTCAACAACTCTTGAGACAGTTGTGTTACCTGAAGAGGACTTCCAGGATATTTATGTRTCAGCTGTTGATACCCCAGGAATGTTCTTTGTTCAGCTTGCTTGCTATAAAACACAGTAAGTACAGACATGTAACACAGGGAGCCCAGTATCTTGTAATGACAACGCCATCATAAGTAAGTTTTAAAAAGTTTTTTTTTAAGTTTTCCTTGAGCTTTGTTTGTTTTACCTAAACAAGGAATTTACTTTATGGAGTTTCCTACATAGTAGTTGATCCTTGTCCAATAAACTTGAGAKGTTTTTAGCATAAGCTGTAAATAAATTGACTTGACTGTATTAGTTGCAAATTTAGAAACACTGACGCAGCTCACACTAGTTTACCGCTAGTTCCCACCATTTTAGTTGCAAATTGTTTTTCACAGACTAGAAGAGCTTCAGACCAAGATTGATGAGGGAATCAATGCTGTGCAGTATGATGATGATGATGAAATTGTGATTGGATCAATTTGTGTGGCCTGCTTCACTAGTAATGATGTGTAAGTGGTAAATGATGCAATGATTTTAATGTTAATAATGATAACAATAATATATAGCATTAATTATAGCACAAATCATCTTAAGTTAGTCCAATTCTCTCTCATTCAGGTGGTACCGTGCCCGTGTACTTGGTATAAGACCTGATAATGAATATGATGTGTTTTATGTTGACTATGGTGATCGYGAATGGATATCACGTGATAGAATACGCCCAGCTTGGCCAGAGATACTTACCCTACCCCTACAGGGTATTGAATGCTCATTAGTCAACATCGTACCACTAGGTATGAACATAGGTATTTTGCATTTGGTGTCATTTACTACAACTACCATGTACTTCTTTGACACATTCTTTTGTAATACTTGATTAGTCCCAATTGGTTTACTAATCTCCAAAGGGATTAATAATCTTTGTAACACAGAAAATGTGCAAGGCTTTCTAGTAGTTGTAGTAAAATTATGACATGATAAATTCTTAACTATAGCTTGCATAGCTGCATCTTTAGCAAGGGAGAAGGGAGGGCATTACCTTACTTTTTCTCCCCCCCTCCCCCCCCCTATAGTGCCAGCTAAGCAGGCTTGTGAAAAGACTGTTGTAGAAGGTCATTTGACAACTTGACAGTGGACCATATTGTGCAATATTTTCATTTATCATTTATTATATTGTAATGATTTCATAAATGTTTATGTTAATGAATAGAGAATGACTGGACGACTTCTGATGGAGATGCATTGTGGGATATGTGTCAGGAGAAGCCGCTTTTTGCAAAGGTGAAAAATATATCATAATGGTACATTAAGTATGGTGTTAGGACTATGTTTCTCTTGCTATATTTCATATTATTCATATTCAGGTCAAGTCCAAGGTAGCATCGTTAATGTCYGGCTGTCATCGGTTTGTAATTGAGATGATTGACACATCMACAAGTATTGATATTGTCTTAAGCAATGAGCTTGTTGCTGCTGGGCATGCTCAGACATCCCCTGAAGGTATCCAGGTAACAATATATATCATCTTGTGATTGGCTGACCTTTGTTAGATATTACGCTGACTTTTGCACGTTTTCAGACTTTATTTCCAGAGGCAGCTGTACAGCTTTCTCAGCAGGACTACAAGGTTAGTTGTCAGCAAAACTTAAATAAGYGCTGCAATAGTCAATCATTTCAAACAGAAATATAACACATTCATTCATAGGAAACTGCGTCGAGGACTTTATGGTTTTTCATTTCTTTATTTTGATGAATTTAAAATTTCAGCATGAGTTTGAGAGAATCCCGGATATGTGCAGGGATATTTTGCAATCACGGGTGAGTATCAAGATATTTGGTGTTTGTAGGAATGCAGTGATGTGATGATGTATTGATCATAGCAATAATGATGGTAGTGATATGATAGTCATAATATTAGTAATGATAATACTGTACTACAGATGATTATGTAGTATTATGTCTTAACGATTGTGTCATTTTTCTATATTTTCAACAGGATCCGTCTCAACGTGTAAGCATTGCCAAGTCTTTACAAACTGTAGTGCTAAATAGCTTGAAGTGAGTAACCAACACTCCCTGACTCTTGTGACATTCGATATTAATTTARTTTTTTTTCTTGTTCTCAGTGTTAAGGATGCAGTTCGTGAGGGGGGTGGTGTAAAATCAATTTGTCGGCTTCTTGCACTAACAAGGTCACCCGCTGTCCAAGAACATCTTCTCGTCAGTCTTGAATGTCTAACTTTCCAGAATGACAGGTAGGACAACCTCCGGCTATGGTTGTATATTCAGCAGTGCTTTACTACGCTGTTCTGTTTGTTTTAGTAATTGTGAAGAGGCAAGAAGAGAAGGAGGCCTCAAGTCCTTGTGTTTGCTTATGGAAAAGGTGTGCCAATCAGTCTTAGTGCCGATAATTAGTGGTTACTGATATGTTAAAATATAACTTTATATGACATCATAACAGAGCCAAAACCTGGCCGTGAAGGAACATGTTGCCTGGACACTAAAGAACCTTGCTGTTACTGACAGGTAAGGACAATGGAACGTCACAGACAATGAATGAATAACTTCACATTCAAGATGAAACATACAACTACTTAGCCTATCAATCAATCATCAATCAACCAGTCAATCAGTCAACTAATCAATCCATCAATCAATCAGTCAATCAACCAATCTGTCATTTTTCAGAAACAAAGACACTCTTCGTGAATTGGGAGGAGTTGGAATACTATGTAGAGAGCTGGAGAATACAATGGAGGACAAAGTATATCATTCATTGCTGTGAATCGTAACCTGTAGTTGAACATCTCTTCACTGTTTTTACATTTTTTTAGGTTCAGGAACAATTAGCCTGGGCACTTGAGGTTTTAGCCACAGATAATGCAAAGTAAGCACTGTTCGACATTTAATTCACACAGAATATCCTGTGTAGCTATCTGCTGTGTCTGCTGTGTCTGATTTGGGAAAAAAGGAAGTTCCATTCATCTTCTCCAACTTCCCTCCCTTCCTCCCAAAAAGAGCAAGCGACACAGGCCACTTATGTTTGACATTTTGATGAGAATGTTTTCATTGCAGGAACAGTAGAGAAGTTTACGACTATGGAGGCGTAAAGACACTCTGTGAACTAGTATCCAGTACCTCWCAAGAGTTTGTACTCGAGAGAGTCACCAGGACCCTTGGCACTTTGGCTGCTGAACCAAGGTAAAGAAGAAGAGTTCCATATTTTATTTATGTCTTGTCATATATGTCTATGTAATAAGGTTACACTTTTCATTACGACTTTTTTGTCGTTGTAGTAACCGTAACGCCATTCGRCATGATGGAGGCTTGGTGGCTGTTTGTAAGAGGATTCAAAGCAGTCCATCTGAAGACGTRAGGTTTATTTGTATCACTCTCTYAATGYCCAAAGCAATTMTATTGATTGCGAATTTTTTCATGTACAGTTCTTACGAGTGGCGACTGCTACCCTTAAAACGATCGTCAGCAACAACCAGCACAACAAGGAAGTCATGAAGGACTTAGGGATGGTACACACTTTACAAAAGTATGTCTTGTTTACAAACATTATTGTCAGATTGTCATATTTACCATCCTGATTGTCATTAATGCCKTGTTTCTTTTTTTATCAGTGATTTTAATCATCCTTTATTGATTGYACACTGGTCTTTGTAATTTGCACGTGAATCGATAGTGATCGACGCAAATTATGTCACTAACTTTTAAATTTAAATTAAATTTAATTTCTGTTTGCTTTCTAATGGTGTATCCAGGATCTTATCATCTTCTACGTACAGCTCCATAACAAGGAGGCTTAGCCGTGATTTGTTAGAAAGACTTATAGGGATGACCGCRGCGGAATTCACAGTATCACCAACCAARACATTAACCACKCCCATAGTAAATGAMACCACAGGGAACCCACATAACGATATCCCACCTCTAGAAGGGTTAGATGACGATGATGAAAACAAGCTAGGTCTAGT